TTTGCACATCCAGCGGGAGGTGCTCGAGTGCTGCGCGCTCTGCCAAGTTTCTCCAAGCTCGACGAAAGTCGACGCTGCTTGCGATGCGCGGCGCCAGGCGCGGGCGGCGAGGTCGCCCTTGGGCGTTCTCGCAGCAGCGGCGCAGCGCAGCGCGAGCCGTAGGTCTGAGTCCGGCGAGCCCCGTCGCCGAACTGGAGCTCGGTCCTTATCCAATCACGGCCGACCATGTGGAATAAATCAATATGCCGGAACCCGTGCATAATATGGGCGACCACGTTTTCGGGTCGACCATGAATTTGGCAAATGGTTGTTCAAGAGACATACCCGCGCAACCTGCGCCGCCCGCCATTCGAAAAAGGACGTCGGGGGTGGGGCGATGGCTCAAGTCGAATTTTCAACAGTTCAGACCCATGACGAACCCTGAAGTGATCGGCGAGCGCGCGGGGGCCGAGGCAACGCAAGTTGTCTCTGACGCGTTTGCCGGCCCCCGCGAAGCGTCAACCCGCGAACTCATCGCCCAAAACTGGTCGGTGGTCTACGCAGTGTCCTCGCAGAGAATCGCGGGGCCCGCGAACGCCCACGCGCGTCGCTCGCACGCCATGGCGAAGATGCCCACCGGTGACCCCGCGAGGGCACGGCGAGCCCTGCGGCCCAAGTCGACATCCAAAGCGAACGTCGGCACCGCAACCTGGAGGGCGGCGGAGGCGATGAGACGAGAAGCTGCGACGCGCGACGGGCGCATATGCTCCGGGGAGGAAACTCGCCCAATGGCGTGTCCGTCGTGCACCTGCGCGATGGCATCTACAAGTCGCGTCGGCTTCAGGTTTGGCCCAGCTACGCAGCGGAAGCTCGGCGGGCCGCGCGGAACCTGGACGACGCGCGTGGCGCAGTCATCGCGCTGTGCGAGTTCCAGGCCAGCCCGCTATCCCCCGAGGCACTGCGCGGCGCGAGGCGCGCGAGGTCTGGTTGCAAGGTATCACGAACAATCGTCGCGGAATCGGCGTGCAAGTCTACGCCTGGCAAGGAGTGGGTGATTCCGGCCGACCATGCCTTCTTGGTTTTTCGTTGGGTACGTCAGCTTATGGATAATGCTTGTGTTGCCCATAGTGAACACTGGTGCGGCGCTAGGGGTATGACCGTAGATGGCCTCGCAGAAGGGGCGAGTGATGGGGCTTCATTCAGGAAGTTATGTCCGGATTTCAATTGTTCAAGCGCGACGTTGAAGCAGTCGCCCATTTCAGCGGCCGTCACGGTGCGAAGTCGAAAGACTCAGTTGTAAACTACTAAGTGCTACGTGATCTTTTCTGGGGTTGCACCGCGCGCGCTGTCGTTCTCCAGGCGCGCCCTGCTGCCCTTTCAGCAAGCCGGAAGCCGTGGGGCCGCTCGGATCCGAACAACTTTTGCGCGACATCGTTTAATATATGTCTCCATGCTCGTCGGTGAGGACCACCCGGCGCGTGGTCTCGCGGTTTGTTGTCGGTTCCTTATTGCCTGATGTTTGGGCGACAATTCTTTTTGGGCTCGCTTTCTATTGGGCTTGGTTCCTCCGGGAACTATTGTCGGGCAGCCTCATTCAGGCCGTTTTGTTCCGACGCGCTGCTGAATTTGCGGGCGCGCGAAACCCTCGGTCAGCGTTTGGGCGCAGTGCTGTTCCCTTCCCGACCTTGCAGGTCTGTCCCCGCGGGGGGGGGGGCGTGCAGCGCGCCCGATTGACGCCGCAGCACTGCGTGGCCGATTCTGGATGGCCAAGTACCTTCCTCATCTACATCCCATCCACAATTTGGTTTTCCCTGCGATGTTTTATGTGACGTTACCGCAGTGTGTTCGACTGTCTTGGGAAATTCGTGGGCCGTTTGAATGCCATCGTGGGTGTTCTAGAGGCATTTTTTTTTTTTGATTTCCAGAGTGTTGGAGCCCCTCCTGAGCGGTCTTGGAAGGCTGCTTGGGCATCCTAAGAGCGACGGGGAGATGGAGTTGGCGGCTCCGATGGTTCGAAATAGCCGCTGACGAGTTCCCGCTTTTCCGATTCCAGCGATTTCCTAAGTGGTTCCAGACCTGACGGAATGGAGAAATGGGGGAGGAGGGGTAGCCAAATGTCCCACACGCTTTGTCATCCTAGACAACCGAGGGAACGGCGGATTCGGTGCCATTCGAAGTTGCGCAATGTTGGCGAACCATGATATGCTATGCTGCGATAGGCTGTATCATGTGATACCGTACCATGTAATGATTGATGTGGGTTTGTTGTTTTGTTTCGCTGCCTTGTACATTCTGGCATCTACTGAACTGCATGCGTTGCCTGGATCCACAAGATCAAAACATTCAGTTTCGGCCACGGATGCAAGACCCAACCCGTTGTTTTGCTTCAGTATATTGATCGCCCTTTTTTAAAACAAGCGCAACACAGTGGAATTATCAATTGGCTTCGATGTGGTAACGAGTATGGATAATGTATCGGTTTGCGGTTTGCAAGGAGACAGCCAGCAGCAAGGGACCCGAGTCAGAACAGTTTCGGCACAGAGAACGACGCGATGACGGCTGCATGCGCCGACGGCCTTGGACAAACATGTTGCGATTGCGCGTCTGCTCCTGCTAGCTTCTGGAGTTTTGCCCATTTGGTTTCCGAGTCTGCGGTGCACGCGCAGTCGAGATCAGATGCTGTGCTCCCCAGGGCGCGCGTGCACATGTGTGGACATGCCATGGTTCGTTCCGGAGGCGCGCCGCGCCCGGCCGCGCACCAGGCTCTCGCGACGCGCGCCGGCATCGGCCTCTGACAGGCCCCTCTGGCCCTGCCCGCCGCTCCCCACCGGGGGCGGCTGCGGCATGGCGCGGGGCACCGGCCGAGCGGGGGCGGCCCTTCCGCCCTTTCCGTTTTCCTTTGGCGCGCCGAGTGGGGGGGCTGTCGAGGGCAGATTTCGACGCTCTGGGAACCCCGTGGGAGCATCTAGGGGCTCAGCGCGCCAGAGGCGGGTCATGCCTCCGCCACGCGTGCGACCTGAACTAAGCCGTGTTGTTCAGTGTGGTGTTTTGTCTCTTTGCGCGCGCATGTGTCCGCGTACGCGCACATGCGGGCGGGCGGGTGAGTCGACAGTGGACAGAGGCACATTAACAGATCCTGACTGTTCAGATTTGGGCATCAGACGGACCCTGGCTGGACCCCCAAACAATAGGTTTTCACATACATGTATACACGTACGCACATACATCTACGTGTTTGTGTGTGTGTGTCGCAGCATATTCGTTTTCGTTTTCCGCCTGGAGAGGGTTGTTCGGACTGATCCCCCCGTGACCATAGGTCGGATCGTGAGAGTTCGATCAAGCCATCGCCGAGCTCTGGCTGCCTCGCGGCCAAAGGCAGCTGACGGCATTGTGCCGGGGACCGTGCTTCTTCTTGCAGTGGTTATTGGGCCCGCGCGGGAAGCTTCGACGTCCATCAGGGGCGCAGGTTTCCAGCCCCGTCAAGAAGCGGATAAAGTGGGGGGACATTGCGTCTGATCGTCCCGCAGGAAGGGCCTGCGATGGGCTAGGCGGTGGCGCCGCGGCGCGATACCAATTCGGGGGGCAAGGGGAGGCAAGGCTGAAGATTCTGCTCTATCGGGCACTGTCTCCCACCCTCCCGCCTCCCCAAGCCTACCCCCTCTCCGTAGTAGGAGCAGCGAGGGGCGCCCCTTCGCAGGCGCCTACCTCTACAACTAAGTAGGGTTTGGGGCTTCTGAGTATCCCTCTGCATGGACTTGCCAGCGGGATCTGTGATGCGCCGCTCTCTCTCTCTCTCTGTCTCTCTGCTCCCGCTCTACCAAGTCTTGCCGCCCTTACGTAGGTATGCAAGCGGCGGTGTCGTCGGCCCGCTCGTGGGGCGGTGGCCAGCCGAAAGACCGTGCTCCGTTCGAAAGAAGCGGCGTCTCGCTTGGCTGCAGGCTTGGGAGGTCAGCAAAGAGGGAGTGTGCGTGGGTTGCGTGCTTCTCTTCCGCCGCCTCCCTCGAGAGGCCTCTCTGCCAGCGAACTCTCCCAGCCACCCATGACTGGTCAGTCACGTTTCCTCCCTCCATTTCTGCATTCAAAGGGATCAGTCAAAGGGATCTTTCTGGAGGAGGAGCGACAGTTCCGGTCGGCCCGAGGTATAAGATCGAGACCAGCTTTGGAAGGGTACCTTCACGTTTTTCGTTTGTGTTGCATGCTCTTGTGCATTTTGGGGAGGATACCCTCGAATGATTGTATGGTTTGTGTTGCGCTGGCCGGCGGAGGGTCCCATGCTCTTGAAGAATGCTTTCATGTGCTAGGTCCGACCGTACCTCGAGAGCCACACCATGCATGCGTTGGAGACGCGAAGGCGTCAACGTCAAATTTCAGGAGACCAGGCCATGTCGCAGATCCGCTCGAACTCGAGAGTCTCTCTACTCCCGCTACCTCTGTCCGTCTGCTTCCTGCTGCCAGGCCTTGCTTCCGTCTGCGACTCCAGCTACGTTTCCTGCCGCTCCCCTTCTACACCGCCTTCCGCCTACTTCCGCCTCGCCCCCTGCCTGCCTCTGCCTCCCCTTGCTGCCTACTAGTGCCTACCCTCGTGCCCCCTCGCCTTGTTCCTCCACCCATCTGCCCCCTCACCGCCTGCCCGAGCTCCCGCCTACCACATCTCGCACGTGTCTCCCTCTGCTAGCATTCGGCGTGTGACGGAGGCTTCGCCCTGGTGTCGTGCCCACCAAGCGTTTCCCTGGCGCGCTGAAGTACTGTTGTTCCGAGAGTGGAGCGACAGTAGAGGAGTGGATCCGAGACCAGCGTTTGATTTGGGAGTGGAGGAGCTCTGCGAACTGCGCCTGCTTGTCGTGCACATCCCGACTCCTCGCTGCCCCTGCGAAGGTCATGAGCAGGGTGGCTCAGGGAGGGGAAGCGAAGCGCCTTGGAGCTGGAGGGCGCGCCGAGGAAGGCGTTTGCGAGGCTCCCCTGCAGTGTGCCCGCCGCCCCTCGGCCCCACCGGCCCACCGGGGGCGGTCCCATAGCGCGGCATGGAGGCCACCTGCAGGGCGAGGCGGCCTCCGCTGCGGCAGTCTCATCATCCCCGAGAGGGGCTGGGTACGCTGAGAGGCGAGGCAGAGGAGTCATCGTCATCGTGTCGGGATCCTCGGTGTCGACTTCATCGGCACGAAGCCGCCTCTCCACCTGTGCGTCAGCCGCCGCCCGCATGACATAGCATCCTTCGGGATTCTCGTTCGTCGGCACGATTTCCCCTCGCCCCTGAACCCCCATCTCTCAGCGTGTGGTTTCTGCACCCGGTCCTCCCGCTTGAGACGCTCTCGAGGCTGGCAAGTCTTCGGAAGGATGAGTTTGCGACGACCCATGGGACAGAGGTGAACGTCTTAGTGCGAGCTGTGCGTAGGGCAGGGCGGGCTGTTTTGTGACACCGTCCGCGACAAGACAGTGGTTCCTGCAAGTTCAACCTTTTGATTGATGGTTGCACCTGGCAGTTCCGATCCAAACGAGTTTTGAAGAAGTATTTTCAGCAGTGCCTACACTTTCAGTTGTATCGGCGGGAGGGCACATGCATACAGGGGAGGTGGAAGAGTGGCCGACGCCGACCCGCACACTTTTTTCCAGCGCTGGCCACTTTTTGTAAGTGCTTTGAGCGTGACAATCTCCCTCCCTGCTTTCTCAGGTTCTTACAGCCGTCGCGCCCCGGACGCCCCGGGAGGCCACCCACCGAGCGCAAGTGTCAACCTGTATTTGCGCTCCCCCTCCTCCTCCACTTTCCCTCCCTCCACCTCGTTCTCCTCGTTGGCCCTTTGAGGGCAACGTGGGGGGGGGGCAGGGCGGCTCTCTTGGGGCCCAGTTGGGGGACTTTTGGCTAGAACAGCCGCGTTGCCCGATACACTCTTTGGACCCGATGGGTTTCAACGATGCCTGGTTTATCCGTGCCCGACGTTGTCTGTATCAGTGCCCTCGTCTCACCCCGGGCTCCTCCCTCCACCCCCGCCGCTTGCATGCGCGCGAGGCCCGCCACTCCGCGCGGCGCGCGGAGCACAGCCTCGATGCCGCGCGACGGGGCGGCGGAAGGCCCCTCAGGCGGCTGCGGAGCGGCGCCCAAAGCCCCATCCCGCCCTCCCCCCCCCTCTGACTGCGGATTTTCCCGCCGTGAGCTCCGCACCGCCTCACATCGGAGCGTCGTGAAAGGGTCATGGCCAGCGGTTTTGACCCCCACAGGGCCTTTGAGAATCGATCTAACTCCAGAAGTGCTGCAGAAGTATACGGCCGACATCTCACGATGGTGATTTCACACGACGTTGCGATGCCTCCAACGATGTCGGATCTCGGGTTCGGAGCCCGCGATGTGCGACGATAATCGCCAGGGGGAGGGGGCGGCCCTCCACATCAGGAGGTCAGCTTCGCCTCGTCGGGGCACCGTGCGAGGAGTGGGTTCGCTTGTAGCTTGCTGCGCTTGCTCGCGACGCGGCTAGTGTTCCCCGAGAGAGTTTCTCTTACACACGGACGGCGTCCCACCGTTGACCGTCCGCTATCTATTGTGTCGCGCTGGCCCCCTCCTCGTTGCCGTTCATGGGACGTGGCCGGGAAACCTGTCGGAGAGGATCAAGGTGATAGAAGGCAGGATGAGGAAGGAGAGGGGAGAGGAGGTGGGGGAGAAGGTGGGGGCGGGAGGAGGAGGAGGAGGAGGAGGAGGTGGAGGAGGAGGAGGAGGAGGAGGAGGAGGAGGAGGAGGAGCATGAGGGCCATGCACGGAGGAATGGGGAGGCGGTACGAATTGGACAACGTCTCGTCTGTCCGCGAGCCCGCTGTACACGCCAGCGGCCCGCCTAGCTCTTCAGAGCGAGGGCAGAGGCTGTGATGAGTTCCTGGGGCTCCTGCCCTGGGGGAGCACAGGCGTTACTGCCTCCAGGGCGAAATTTCGGCCTACAGCGGCGACGGGCGGCATTGTAAGGGGGGCGGATTACGTGGTTGACGAGCCAAGTGCGGAGGGCAACCCAGAAGGCATCGACCATCAAGAGTACGCACGGGAAATGCACGCCGCGCCGTTCCTGGAAATGCACGACGGCGCCCGTGTGCCACGACGTGGAAGTATTGGGCCCCTTTGATGAAGTTTCCCTGCCACGTGATTTCGGAAACGCGACGGCGTGTTCCTGGCTGGGGGACAGTGCCTCCACGCACTGACACGGTAGAGCGCATGCGGTTTAGGATTTAGGTGATAAGTTTGGGGTGGCATTCACAGTGCCCCGGGCGCTCGCAGCAGTGCTGCGAGCCCAAGGCGATTGCAGAGGAGCTCCGCGCCGCGGTCGAGGTCCCTCGGGGTGAGCTGGGGGCCCTCGGTTGGCGTCAGGGGGGTCGAGTCGTGAGCAGTGGTTGGTTTTGCCGCAAGCCTCATGGGGGAGGGGATTGGGCATGTTGGTGAGGGACGTTGTAGCGGCGGTCGCTTGCTGAGCTTGGTGGGCCTGCGCCCTGCTGGCGCGGTCCATCAGCGCCTGCCGTTCTGCGGTCTGTTGCGCCGCTGTGGCGTGGAGCCCGCGGTGTTGCGATCCTGGTCCTCGTGCTTCGAGCCCGTCTTGACGGTGCGAATCGCGCAGTGAGGAATTCCGCCCACCGTCCACTCCTGAATTCCACCAGCCTTGATGGCTCGGTCGAGCCCCGCCTCTCCGTCGCGGAATTTCTCGATCGTCACGGATCTCGGGATTCCCGAATATAAGTCTTCTCCGAATTTTGATGTAATCTGCTCGATCTCCTTGTTCTACCACGGGCTGTTCAGCCTCAGTGCGAGTTGTCCGCCTTCCTCCCCGAATAAATTGTTGATGGCCTCAGTCTCCCTGGACCGCCTGCCAGACGGATTGGCCACGCCGTCCTACAGACTTTGCAAATCCCTGGGCGGCGTGCCCCTGAGCTGGAGGGACTTTTTCATCTTCGGTTGCGACCGCCTCCCCTCGTTCGCGTCGTCCTCGTTCACATCCTCGCCGTCGTCTTCCCCGGCGGCGGCAGGCCTCTTGCCGACGAACGCAGCGGGTTTCCTGGCGACGAACGCAGCGGGTTTTTGGCCGACAAACGTTGCAGGCCCCCCCCCCCCTGCGGGCACTCAGGACCCATGGGAACGCCGCTACCCTCCCAACTGGCTTGCCCTTGCCCTTGCGGTTCAGCACCTCACCGTCGCCGTCCTCGGCGCCAGCTGCATCGTCGCCCCCGGCGCCAGCTGCATCGGCGTCGTCATCGCCCTCACCTGGCGCGTCGCGGAGTCCATCCTCTTTGATATTGCCCAAGAGACCCTGCATCTCATCGAACGTGTTTGCCTTCGCAGCAGCCGCCATTACGCGCCAGAGCGTTGACGCGGGAGCTGCTAAGTGCAACGTAGAAGAAACCAACGAGTAAGGACTCAGTTGAGTCATGCGTCGCTGAGCCAAAGCGTGTACGGAATGAATGTGTATCACGACGGAGTTCAATATAGTTCCGATTTGTTTTTGATCTAAAGTGGATTGGTGCAACAATCTAGTGTTGATCTAGCTTTATAGAGCATATGCAGAGTCATCGATATGGGCCGCACTTCTACCAAACCAGATAATTGGTAGACCAGAAGTGGATCGTAAGTAGACAGAAGGAACCCTTGTTCGTTGGGGAGAGGCTCGGTGTTCCTTGATGGTTTTGCAGTTTGCCTTCGGTTTTCCCCAGGTTTTCCACCAGAAATCGAAGTTTACCTTGCGGGCAAAAGGGGCCTCGCTCCCCCGACGGTAGCCCACTGTAGATCTAAACTAGATCGAAACTAAAATAATATCACACGACATATATACAGCGCACCCAAAATATAAGTTAAACTCTACACAAGTCAGTTGAATCCTACTCCAGCTCAATCCCCCCCTCAGGTTTTGTGGAGCCGATTTCGCTGAAGGTTCGTTTCACCAGGCGCGGTGCGTTGCGCGCGTGCACGCTGCGCCATGGCGCAAGCAGGCCAGGCGAAGCTCAGCTGCGCCGAGAAGCTGGGCGCTCAGAGCGGCCAAGGGCCCAGGGCAGAACATTGAATCGCCGAGCAAAGCTCGACGATCAGAGCTTAGAGCTTCACGATTACAATTCCCTTGCGCGCTAACGGCTTGGGGGGGCGCGGCGTCGCGGCGTTGCGCGACTTTTAACATCGGCAGTGCAGTGCAACATAAACGAGCTTGCACGACTAGGCAACGCCTGACCGCGCATCTCATCGCGCACTGCCCACCCCTGAGCGCTCGAACTTGCAGCGACCTGGGCCCAGAATCGCATTGCAGCGCCGCTCAGAGCAGCGCGTGGGTGGATCACGCCTCTCGGGGGCCAATCGGGCGGGAGAACGACGAAGCGGGCCATAGCTTTCAAGCATTGCTCGCGGCGCCTGTCCTCGGCATGTCCGTAGAACTTCTTGCAGTCGCCAGTGCGTCCGCACATTGTCCGCAACTTGGCGTTTCTTCACCGCTGCTTGTACTCGCGTTGCGGGAGCGCATTAACTGGCTTGAAGTTTGCGCGCGCCCTCGGCGACGTTGCGCGCAATGGCTGCGCCCCATTCTGCTAGAAATGCCACCCTGAAACCCAGCGCCGTCGCCGATGCAACTACCCCCGCCAAACTATACTCTCCCATGAGATTGCGGTTCGAAGGGGCCGTCGTAGCTCGCGCGAACTTGTAGCTCGTGCCCGCCCGAGATGCGCGGCAATGGCGCATCTGCGCGGTGGTTGCAAGCTTCGAGCCTGTAGCTTCCGACCGCCTTCATTGGTCCTGTGAACGACGGTGTCCTCCCTGGATTCAAGGCGTCGGAAGCGCGAGCGATCGAAACAATTGTAGCGCCCGCCACTTGCCCGAGTACCGCCTCGTAACATATGGCCGAATACTATGAGCGGCGACAATTTGCATCTGCGCGGGAACCGCGGTACTCGCGGATCAGGTGCCCCAAGTAGTCTCTGCGCGCCGAAGGAGGACACGCGTTCGACGCGCCAATGAGCGATGGCCAAGGTTCTTCGAAAGCTGGATGGCGACGCAACTTGAACATGTCCGCCTCGCAGA